TGTTGATGATAGAATCTTGTATCTAGGAAACTGCAAAGATTCACCAACAGCCTCCTGAAATTAATAAATAAATTCCTCAAAGTTTCAGGATACAAAATCAATGTGTGTAAATCAGAAGTAACTAATACTACTGAAGCTGAGAGTCAAATCAAAGACCCCATACCATCATGATAGCTACAAAGAAAATAAAATACCTAAGAATATACTTAATCAAGGAGATGAAAGATCTCTATAAGGAGAACTACAAAACTCTGAGGAAAGAGAGCACAGGGGCTACAAACCAACAAACATTTCTTTCTCATGGACAGATAGATTCAACATAAGTGATTTATAATTTCTGTGTCATCTCCATTAAGTTACCAAAGTCATGCTTCACATATCTAAAAAGAATAATTCTACACTTCATTTGGAATCATGAAAGAGCCCAAATACCCAAAGCAATCTTAAGCAAAAAGAACCCATGGCATCACATTAATAGACTTCAAACTATACTTCATGGTTATAGTAACCAAAACAGCATGGTATTAAGACAAAAATGGAGATATAGACCAATGGAACAGAACAGAGAACCCACATATAAACCCATCTACCTATAAGCAACTGATCTATGACAAAGCAAATAACAATATACACTGGGGAAAGTAGGCCCATTCAATGGATGGTGCTTGCCATTTACTTTTAAAGAAAGGAGGTGTAGCTTTATAATCTGTAACTAGTAATTACAAAGCCTTGCCGTTTTAGTTTCTGCTTGTTCATATCTCATTATGACTTACTTACTTTTGTACCTTTATTTTTTAAACTATAGCTAACGGTCCTTGCAAAATTATTTAACATGAAATAATACAGGTGATATGAATTGGGGCTGCAAAGCTATGCCCGGGTTGGATGCTAACTTTCACTGTGCCAAGATACTTTCTTCATAGTTCTAGGGGTGGGATGAGAGGGCTCACTGTTACGTAAGGGGACAGGATGTTGCAGTCTCATCTTTATGAAAAGACAACGGAAAAAAATCTACTGTTAGACTTCATACCTTCAGCAGCCATTAGGATTTTACTTTTGTTTTTGCAGTTTTTGGCCAGGGCTGGGTTTGAACCCACCACCTCCGGCATATGGGGCCGATGCCCTACTCCTTTGAGCCACAGGTGCCGCCCCAGGATTTTACTTTTGTCCCTTTACCCCATGAAGCCTGCAAGCCACAACCCACATTTGCCAATCTGGCAAATGCTTTGGGAAACGTTCAGTTTTATGTACAACTTCCTAAATTCTGGCTCTCCCCATCCCTTTGGCCTGGTAATTCTTTAAGTTCTTCTTTGCTCTTTGATGCTTTTAAGAAAATTGTCCACCCCACCCCCCCCAACCCTAGCATTTTCATGTTTTTGTTGGGAAAGTTGGTACAAGTACCCTAGACCAAGATATGTCTATAAAAAGAAGTGGCAGGCTTGGCGCCTATAGCTCAACCGGCTAAGGCGCCCGCCACGTACACCTAAGGTGGCGGGTTCGAATCCCCAGCCCGGACCCGCCAAACAACAATGACGGCTGCAACCAAAAAAATAGCCGGGCGTTGTGGCGGGTGCCTGTGGTCCCAGCTACTTGGGAGGCGGAGGCGGGAGACTCACTTGAGCCCAAGAGTTGGAGGTTGCTGTGAGCTGTAATGCCACGGCACTCTGCCCAGGGGGACAGCTTGAGGCTCTGTCTCAAAAAAAAAAAAAAAAGAAGTGGCTAAAGATTTTTAAAAGCATAAAACATTAAACAAAGCTTATAAACTTTTATTTCTGAATAGAATTAGAGAACCCAAAAAGCCAGATGGTACCTGAGACACATGGTAAGTACTATAAAACCTAGGTCTTCCAGTTTTCTGCTCTTTTTCATTATAAGAGCATTTGTATACATCACAAGTTTATTTTTTAAAAATACTTATAATTTTTTTTTTTTTTTTTTGCAGTTTTTGGCTGGAGCCAGGCTTGGACCCGCCACCCCTGGTATATGGGGCCAGTGCCCCACTCCTTGAGCCAGAGCACTGCCCTACATCACAAGTTTAACCTGTTAGCTCTAACATAGTTCTCAGAACTTTAGAAAAACTATCTTAGGAAAAACTGTGTCAAAGCAATCATGAAAAGCATCAGTGTTTTGAGATCTAGGTTAAGTTAATAATGACCTTGAGAGTCCTCTGTCACCATTCCTCTGTGGGTGCTTGTCCATGTTCCAACGGTCCCACCCTTTTCACTTCTAGGCTGTCTTCAAATCCTTCACTAGGCACTTGGCTTTGGCTCTAATGATTTTGTTACTCTAGGCAGTTTTCCAAATAAAAAGTAATGGTTATTTACAATTCCTAGACTGAAATCATAAATATGATCAGCTGAATTGCACTGAAATGTCAGTATAACTCTACAGAAGTCTTCACAAAATGAGTTTGTCTTGGGTAGGTAAAAAGCATTTTAGTTATAAAAGTAGTAAAAAGATCTTATTGTAGGTAACTTTAAACTGTTAGGTGGTCCTGCAGTGTATACTCTGAGGACAGCTTTACAGCAAGGTTCCTGACACAGACCATTTAGACTAGGAGCCAGACATTTTTCTTGGTGAAATTATAAGGAATTGTGGTATTCCAGTAAATTGCCCCTTTGTGAACGAAATAACTTGGATTTTCATACTGAATTCCTTTCTCATATAGATCATTCTACTTTTTCCTCAAAAATTCTGTGATTACTTCAATCTAAAACAATATTAATGAGATAAGGTATGGGTAGTGGTATCTTTAAGCAATTGCCTTTTCATTCAGTGTAGTATCCTTTATACTTTACAAAAATAATCATTACATACTAATCTTGAAAAAGATTAGAGCTTTTTCCCAAGACCCATCAAACCTCTCACTCCATATGCCAAATGCCTGACAACTACAAGTTTCTGAACCTCTGACACCTGAAAGGGGGATGTTACACAGCAGAACCAACTCTTCCAAACTCTGCTGTGGTGCCACGCTGCCTATGCTGCTCTCACTCGTGTACTATCTGACTCCACAGTGCAGCTGAGGACTGTCTTGTAAAGCTGGCCGTTCACCTGCCTGAGAACCCAGCCAGCACAAGCCCCAGCCTGCAGCCCTTGGACCAGCAGCATTGGCGTCACTTGGGAACTTGTTAAAAATAAAAATTTGGGGAAACCACACAAAACCTACTTAAATCAGAAATCCAGGGCAGTGCTCAGCAATCTGTATTCAGGCAATTCTGACACAATTACAGCCTGAGACTCCCTGATTTAAAGAAATTTTCTTGATACAAGAATGTCTGTGGGTACACACACACTCAATGCCCTCCTCTCTCTCTCATACACACACACCCTGAAATGTTTATTGTTGAGAAAATGGATAAAAAAATTGTAACATTATCACAATGAAGTATTTACTATACATTAGAGAAAAAGAATGAAAAACAACTCCATTTATAAAGTTAAATAAAACTCAGAATCATGATTTTGACTGAAAAAAATTGCAGAAGTCTATGGCATAATATTTTGTAAAAGTAAAAAATGAGCAAAACTAAATAACATTATTTAATAATACATTTATGTGATAAGGCAATAAAGCTTTATTTTAAAAAACAAAAAGACAAGACACCTTTAATTCTCTAATGCATTCACTGCACGGGGGCTGTGGTAAGGTAAGAAGGATCACCCTGGGAACCATCAATGTATTGGTAATAGTCTAACTCTTACATTGGGTGGTGAGCTCACAGTTGTTCATTAATTTTTCTACTATTTTAATTACCATATATTTTTAATAAATGAAATATTTTACATAGTAATTTTAAACCAGAAAAAAAAGGCAGTTAGTAGACAAAGATGGAAAATTAGAAACTACTAAATTGTTATAAATTATGTAAAAAACTGTGATATGTTTATTCAGCTACAATGAATTTTATAAGACATGAGAAATAGTTATGATAAAATTAGCCAGATAAAATAATGTAAAAAAGTACAACAAAACAATTAGAAAGATAATAAAATGTTAATAGTTGATATTATAAAGAGTTTTATTTCTTTGTATATGTAACATTTTTCTACAGTGACTAATAAATACTTTTAAAATCATTAAGGATGTTTTAACTGTAATTGAAACATTTAATGGCTCTAATCAGGGGTGTCCAACCTGGGGCCTAGAGGCTGCATGATGATTTTCTGAGGACTTTTTTGCTTATCTGTGGTGTCAGATATCATGGAAAATATGCACAGACTTTTTTTTTTTGCTAACCAGCTTTTGTTGGTGTTCATGTATTTACTCAGTGGCCCAAGACAACTCTTATTCTTCCAATGTGCAGCAGAAATAAGATTCCCCTACTGTAAGTCATTAAAGAAAACTGCCAAATCTCTTGGAAATGGGAAAAATTGATGTTTTGTAGAAATCCAATTGTGATTTATGAGCTATATATTTCAAAATTTTATATTTTCTGCCATAAAATCATATATCTTTATTATTGTGATTCCTGATTAAAGAATTTCACTTTGTTTGTTTGAGGAAAACATGAATGAGAAAAAACCAAGACCTAAAGAGGGCTTTAATTAAAAAAATTGAAAACACTTTTTTTTTTGAGACAGAGTCTCACTTTGTCACCCTCAGTAGAGTGCCATGGCATCACAGCTCATAGCAACCTCCAGCTCTTGGGCTAGGGCGATTCTCTTGCCTCAACCTCCCAAGTTGCTGGGACTACAGGAGCCCACACAACACCGGGCTATTTTTGTTGCGGTTGCCACTGCTGTTTAGCTGGCCAGGACCAGGTTCGAATCCGTCACCCCTGGTATATGGGGCCGGTGCCCTACCCACTGAGCCACAGGTGCTGCCCCAAAACACTTTTGATTAAACAATGAAAAACAACTAAAAGGTACAAAAGAAAAAAAATCCATCAATTAAAAACACAAAAGAAAGGCATATACTGAGATCTATCTAGTCCTAGTTATCAGAGTGAGAAAGGACCACAAAGATTAAGGCTAAAAGTCAGAAATCAGCCACATACCTCTTTTTCCAATATCCTAGCGATCTCACCTAGTGTCCGATCTAAAGCAGAAACTTTATTGTTTGCCCATGAGCCACTGTCTTGTACTTGTAGTTGTTTTAGAAGATCTTTGGCTAATCGCTGAAGCCTTTAATTCAAAATGAAAGGAAAGAATGACATTAATGATTGGACTATATTTCATTTTCCTAAACATTTTGAAACACAAGTTACTTTCAGTATTATATATGAACATGCCTCATAGAGCACCTGAAGGGAGGTAAAAACGAATAACTCACAAGCCTGGTATTACTTGGTATTCACTTCTACCAATCTCCCCCTCATGGCACAAAACAGAACTAGAGGATGGTATGACCCATCCATCAGGTTTGTCAGAGCAATTGTTATCAGTTTCTGTGTGACCCTTAAAGTAGAAAAGAACTAGAAACAGGGAGAAGGTGAGAGGATCATGGCAGAGAAAATTAGTACAAGAATCTGAACAGGTTTTTACATTTTGATTTAAATCCTCAAGGTAGGTTTGGACATTATAAGCACTGTAAATTCTCAAAATGTTAAACTCCCTGTGTTCTAGTTTGCAGCTAGTTTGAGGATTGCCTGCCACTGTGGATGTTATTAGACAACAGAGGGCTTATTTGCTTTTCACAGAAAAGGCCATGGATTACCTACCAGGAGTCCTCAAACTTTTTAAACAGGGGGCCAGTTCACTGTCCCTCAGACCGTTGGAAGGCCGGACTGTGGGCCCCCGGACGAGTTGGCTGCTAAGCAGGACAGGCAGCAGCGGCAAAAACACCCAGCGGGCTAGATAAATGTCCTAGGCGGGCTGCATGTGGCCTGCGGGCCGTAGTTTGAGGACGCCTGACCTAGACTGTAAGGTTCTTCACTGAGAGGGCTGTGTGTAATACTTTTTTGCAGCCCTTATTTCAGATTCATTCTTTCTTGTGGTTCTATGTGATACTCCTATTAGACAAAACCTGCCAGTGGTGGTAATGTTCATTTAGCTCTTCCTATGAGCAAGGCACCACTCTCGGTGCCTTGCATGCATTCATTTATTTAGTCAGATTAATGAAAACTGCCAGTCATTACTATTTCCAAACCTGAGAAAAAGTCATAACAAGCAAAAGACTGGTATGACTGCTGAGTCAAGAGATTACTAAGTTTCTCTGTTCTGATCATTCTCTCATTCTCCTCAAAGACTTGCTTCATATATTTATTCCTCACTCTCTTCCAAATTCTACCCTGGCCTTTTTGTCTCTTACTTTCATAAAAAGATCTTATGCTTCATAGAGAAAGTGGAAGCTACTGGAACAACCCCTCCCCCCCCAATACTTTCTGCCACAAAATCGACAAGTCTATCTGTGGTTTACCCGTCCTCTCCTGTTTCTCTTACAATCCAGGAGGGCCTGTTCCTCCCATGCATGGCTAATCCCGCCACAAAGGCTCCATATACATGAGGTCCTTCTAGATCTCAGTCCCTCTTCTTCCTACATCAATGTCTTTGCAAATTTTCATTTCTTCCTTCTGAAATGCTTCTTCCACTCCTGCACTGCTAGAATATTCGTATTTATCCCTGAGTTCTTAGCACAAACATTCCTTTCCCTGATTTGATTATTCCTTCAAAGTACTCATCAGAGGTGAACAAATATTTAACTAGTTTCTTTTTTATTTTATTTTATTTTTTTATTGAATGGTAACTATGTATATTAATGCATTTCTGGGGTACAGTGTGGTGTTTTCACATACAATTTGAAACATTTCATCAAACTGGTTAACATAGCCTTCATGTCATTTACCTAGTTATTGTGCCAAAACATTCATATTCTACTCTTAAAAAGGTTCACTTGTACCCTTGTAAGATAAACCACAGAAGTGTTAACTAGTTTCATGTCTGGGTCCTAGCATGCAGAATTCTCTGTGAGGATGAAAATGTTCTCTCTGCACTGCACAGCATGAGAGGGGCTGCCCACATACGGCTAGTGAACACTTGAAATGCAGTTAGTGTGACTGAGAAACTGAATTTTAAATTGTATTTAACTTTCATAATTAAAATGTCCACAGTCACACATGCCTAGAAGCTGCTGTACTGCAGAGCACAGAAGCAGAGCATCAACTTCACGAGAGCCCTTGTTTCCCTGCTACTGCTTTGTCCTTCCCAACGAGCGTGCCACTTACACAGCCATGCACCCAGTAGATAGTAAATGAATAGAAGATAGAGACATTTCTTCTTTATATTAATCTTAACAATATCTATAAAATTATAGGTTACAAAATACTTTCATGTACATGGTCTTTTTTTTAATTTTTTTTATTAAATGATAGCTGTATACATTAATGCAAACATGGGGTACAGTGTAGTGTTTTCATATACAATTTGAATACATGGTCATATTTAATCTTCTCAGCAATATTGTCAGTTAGTATTACTCCCATGTGAAAAAGTAAGGCTCAGGGAAGTTAGGTGACTTTCCAAAGGAAACACAGTTAGTGAAAGGTACGACTGAGACTGAAAATCTAAGCATTTGGTCTTCAAATCTCATTTTTGTCTTTATACCAATTTAAATTATTCACAAATGAATAATTTCCTAGAATACAATTTCATCTAAAAATTTATTATGAAAAATTTAATAATTTCTCTAAGATTACAATAGCAGCTGTGGCTAAAAAAGTACTTGTGAACTCTAGTGTAAACATAAGCTGTCTATGTAAAGTTTGCTTTAGTAAGTCAAAGAATAAACATATAAATTCTAAACTCTAAGTACCTACGATGAATTCTGGCTCTAGCACATACTATGTATATAAATCCTAGGTAAGTTACTTAACTTCTCTGAATTTCAATTTCTTTTTCTGAAAAAAATAAGATAATATTTTTCCTTTAGAGTTTTTGGAGATTAGAGATAAGTAAAGTAATATACCTTTCACCATGGACTAGACATTTAGTAAATAGACAACTATTAATACCCTACACTGACAGAAGATTTTTTTTTTTTTTTGAGACAGAGTCTTGCTTTTGTCACCCTCGGTAGAATGCCGTGGCATCACAGCTCACAGCAACCTCCAGCTGTTGGGAGTAGGCAATTCTCTTGCCTCAGCCTCCTGAGTAGCTGGGATCGCAGGCACCCGCCACAATGCCTGGCTATTTTTTGGTTGCAGTTTGGCTGCGGCCGGGTTTGAACCCACCACCCTTGGCATATGGGACCAGCGCCCTACTCACTGAGCCATAGGCACTGCCCCCTGACAGAAGATCTTAATCTAACAAAAGGAAAAAGGGAATACAAAAATGCAAAAAGAGTAATAGCAACTTATTTCTTTTCCCTTCTAATCAAATATGGGCTAGAGTCCCATCCGATTAGTTACTGACCTTATCATGCAGAAAAATACTGGCAGTGGACTTCACTGACTTCATTAGATAAGTAGCCACTTCAGCTTTTGGCTAAAGTCTGCACCCCATGTAACTAAATATCTAGCCTCAGCAGTGGATGCATATGAACCTGGCAGAATTGTGACCAAGAATGCACATTCCACCGAAAACTGGGATTACTTAGGGAAGCACAAGGACTATTTTAATTCACAGAATGTAAGAGGCTTATATTTCACCCTGAGGTAAATCAAATCTGGGGTTTACATGAACCCCCTTCCAAGGAAGATTGCCAAATCAAGGGAGGGGATGCTCTGGAAACATGAGCCACACCTCCAACCTCATCCCCTGCCTCCCCAGAAATGCCACAAATAACACAGGCCCTCAGGAAAAGAACCACCAGATTTTGATTTATACTAGAAATAATTATAGAACATCACCAAAGTCAAGCTCTGAAAGCTGTATCTTCCCTGTTGTGCAAGAACAGGGACTGCTTAGAGAGTGCAGTTTTTTCAAAAAAAATTAACATTAAAAATGGATACATAGTTACACATGTTTATGGCACACACAGAGATGTTTCAATACATATAATGCATATTAATCAAATCAGGGTAATTAGCATATCCATCATCTCAAACATTTATCAGTTCTTTGTGATGGGAACATTCAACATCTACCTTCTAGCTATTTGAAACTATATAAGAAATTGTTAATTGGGTTATTTCTGGCATGTAATTTTTCTAACATGAAAAGAAAAAGTAGAGTTTTGTAATTCCTAACGGAAAACATGAAAAGTATCAGTCAGATAAATAGCTTTGTGGAAAATGTTGTAAGATCAGATATTTTCATATTAAAACTTGAATAAATTCCAACAACTGTAAGCACAAATTTGTCACTGGTAAATGTGAAATGTAAAACTATCTCTCTAAAGAACCTTAACTTTTATCACAGTGAAGCTTACTTGGTGGGGGGGGGGGGTCCACTAGGACAATTTGGAAGTTTTGTGAAAGTGTAAGAAAGTGGACAGGGTCTACTTTAGCAACTGTCAATAATTATTCTTTAGTGTGACAGACAAGAAGATATAAATACATTAACTTTTTTTCTTTTCATCTATCTTCCCTATTTGGAACGTACCAGTTCTAAATTTAGGATTATTGGCTCCCTTTTTGTTTTTGTTTTTTTTTTTGTAGTTTTTGGCCAGGGCTGGGTTTGAACCTGCCACCTCTGGTACATGGGGCCAGCGCCCTACTTCTTTGAGCCACAGGCACCACCCCCTTTCTGTT